ATGAAAAGTTGCAAACTCTTTTGGCGCAATTTGCTCGTGAATGTAATTGGTGTAATTCTCCATAAAGCATTATGGGTAATGTAGTTTTGGCCACATATTCAGCCATCAAACATCATTGTTTAGAAATATTTTAAAATAATGTGAATTTTGACAGAAGCAAGAAAGACTTTAAAGTCTCCAGACACGCTGATCTTGACAGTTATAAAAGCACAGACTTCTCTGTGATGACGTTAGTGAGCTCTTGAGTGTTTCTAAGATGTGTTTAGTGTATAATCTGAGTCAGGGTTTCCCTTGCTGCTCAGTGTAAGTGTCTTCAGAGGGTCTATAAGTGCACAGAGAAGGTCCAGATGCTGTATTTCTAGAGTTATGCTTGTCAAATATCTTCACTCCACATCAGGTCATTATCAGCCGCTTTCGCTAGTCTAATCCAGCAATGTGTAAACTGTTTATTTTCCCCATGTTTGTTCAGAGCTGGATGATTGTTTTTCTAACAAACCTCTGATTGCTGTGTATCAACAGCTCGACAGTACCGTATACAGTCATTATTGGAAATCATCAACTAGAGACACAGTTCTTAAACCATTTATATAACAATAAATATGCTTCATTAGAAGAACTAATAAATATTACACAACAGTTTACACTCCATGCATACTTGTTATATAATGTTCATCTAAAACTCCACATCTATAATCCTCTTAGTCTATGATGACATTATCTTCAGCAGCTCAAACACTCTAATGGCTAATGGACAGACCAACACAATCTCACGGCAATTCGTAACTTTTTCATTTAGTGGCTAATTCGTACAAATTCGTACGATCTAATTCGTACATTTTAGTACGATTTGCGTATCCCCCAATGACGGTTGGGTTTAGGGGTGGGGTTAGGTGCCACGCCTCCTTTTTAAAATTGTACATTTTCTTACGACTGAACTCACCACTAAACTGCCAAAACATAAAATACTTACGTTTTCTCTTGAGATCAGGCTGGACAGACGGCTGCTTCTTACTCAGGGCTGCTGTTTATGCTAATGAGATGGAGAGATGGGCACTAGTGGGCGGGGCTTTCCCCCTCTGATGACACGTACAAAGAGAGAATGTCAATCACTGTGTTTTTGCATCAAGTCTGATTAGAGCAAACACAATTCATTCATCTGCACCATTAGAGGCTGCTGGAGATACTCACACACTGCTGACATACTATTGGGGTTAAATGTCTTATCAACATAATTTCTGCATGATATAATCAGTCACAGTGCTTCTCTGGTAAATGTGTCTTGATATGAGAATCTGTATATTTTTGTTCTGGATTTACTATCTGACAGAAAGGCTGAGGAAGACAGCTGGTTGCGTTTCTGTGTTTGAGATATGTGTATCCTCCGACCACACGCTGCTCTTCTCATTCTTCTGTCCGAGAGACTCCTCTCTCTCGTAATGTGCACGTTCAGCCCACAAAATGTGCAGCTGAACAAACACTATGGAGACACAAAGACAGTTCACTGGCATTACTGTGGAAAGTGCAACACTCAGCATGGCCACCACAGCAAAATAAGTCCCGCCTTCTAGTTAAATAAACAATCGTGAGTCTTAATAGTGGCGGCACGGGGGACGTATGATCTGCGCTTAGCAGTGAAAATGAAACCGAAAGCGTGCACCTCATTTAAATGATCATATCGCATTGTAGAGTTCTGATTGCGACAAGCATTTCATTTGTTTTTCTTTTATAGCGAACACAGAGTTGTGCATGAAAATTAATGTTTACAGTGTCAGTATACCTTCTCTAGCTATACGTTGAGGATAATGCAAGAGGGAATCTGATAATGACAAATGTCTGATTTTACCAGTGAATTAAAAGGTCTAATAATGTTGTCAATGACAGATTGCAAGCACATGTCTCAAACACAGTAATTCAACATCAAAGTAGAATATAATTAGTAGAATATAATTATTTATAGAAACCAGTAGACCTACACCACATAATGTTGTTATTGTCGTTTTATCATATGTTTGAGAAATAACAATAGCGACTCATATTAACCTTTATTTTACATCTACAGAATCCTGAGAAAATCCTGATCTTTATTTAAAGCACAAAATCACGATTCTCATTTTAGCCAGAAGCCTGCAGCTCTAATATAAAGCATACATTAATAGTTTTTATTTTTAGTAGCCTAAGCTATTTATTAAGAAATATATACTGCTGTATTGGACCTATATGCTAGAACATTTCTGAAGTGGTTTGAGATATATATATATATATATATATATATATATATATATATTAGTGCTGTCAATCGATAAAAAAACAACAACTAATTAATCGCACCTTTTAAAAAAAATTTATCGCGATTAATCGCATTTAAAATACTGAAACTTGTAATTTTGGCTATTTAAATGTAAAATTAATGTAAAGGCAAGACAAAAAATATTTAAATTCAAAATATAATTGTTTAATAGAATTTTTAACTTGTAACACAGATTTCTTCATGTAAACAACATACCCACAATAAAACATCAAGATCCTGCTTGACAGCCATATTTATTACAGAAATTAAAACACAGGCATGTTAATGACATTTAAATTTCAAAACAATCAATGCCAATAAAGAAAACACTGATTTCCATGTTGGATTCTAAGTGGACTGCAAAAAAATGCCACAATACAGGAATTGCAGATATGGAAAATGAAAAATTATAATAATAAACTCTAGAATACAAACAGTTGCACTCATTGTAAAGTTTTATTGCTGTGAGTTGAGAACATTAATTATAGAGTAGAAACAATTTTGCTTAATCCTGTAACAACTACTTTTTTTTGAAGCTACATTAAAGAAATTGAGAGACCACAAAACAACTTTCAGAGATTCATGTGTATTTAGAATAAATGTATATGACAGCAGGTATGAATAATTATTGTTACACACTGGGGATATGAAATGATCAGCAGTCAACTCATTAATGATCACTATTAGACAGAAATAAGCATTCGATAAGTGTCTTTCTCATTGAATCCAGTATTTATAGCAATCCAAAAAAGATACCAACAGTCCTTAAGTGAATCACATGAAAGATCAAGTTCAGCAAACAGTTCATCAATGGCTGGCCACGGAATCAGTAGAAAAGTGGATGGAAAAAGTCTGTGGATATGAGGATGGATTGTCCAGGTCCTGTTTTGATGACTTAAAGTGGATACCAAAAAACCCTCTGCATATAAACAAACATACAATCAAAACCTTGCCAACACCACACAAAACATATGTACAAAACCGAAATATATACAAAAAAAACAGGCCTACTTACATCTGAGATAAGAACAAAAATGTTCCTCAAATAAGGGCAACAAACAACAGCGCAGTGAAGAAGCCTTTCCATGTGCTAGGCACCATACTTCCTACCTACTGCTTCTTCTCTACCTCCTTTTAAGCAGATTGGAGACTTACTACCTAGATCGCCCTCTAATGGGTGAGATAGCTACTACAGGTAGAATTTTCAAATAGTAACAGGAAAACTGTTACAATCCTCCTTTACATTCATCCAGTTGCTAAGATTAGGAGTATCCCGCAAGTGCACAGAGACTCCCAAATGCCCGCAAATGAATGATAATTTCTTGCAAACTGGTCGTTAAATACATTGCACACCCCTCTCCCCCTACTCAGATACGTCGCTCACTCCACCCCTGACACAGACACACACACAGACAGACACACAACGCGCTGCAGACGTTTTGGCCCCAACGGCCTTCCATACTGGAGCGACTCCCCTCTGATTCAACACGAATGATCACTTTCATCAAATTTGCTTAAACTAAGCGTCCTAAAGTATTACTGTATTTCACAAGGATTCTGACACAACAACGCGAAGCATACGCTTTCATTGCGTTTAATGAGGAAACACGCTAAACTTGGAGGCTCATGCTGAAAGGCAGAATATTGCCCTGTCTTTGACAGCTTGCGACTTCACCAGAGACGTTCTGAGTACATTCACATAAGACACCAATACTCTGATTTTAATATGATTAAGATAATACTCTTATTAAAATTCTACCGTGTAGCCTTAAAAGAAACCTTACCTTAAAGGAACACCGAGTCACGAAATGCGGAGGATTTTCTTTCTGTTCGCCATGCGGTATCAACTTACAACAGAAGTCGAAAGTTAAAAATGAAACACCCGAAATTGCATGAAACTCTGGAGAGCCTGGTGATACAACTTATTGTTTTATACTGAAACTTGCCTTCAAAAAGTGCTTCCTTGGTCTTATCCACATTTATTGCATGTTAAATACACGTCCACCGCAACAGGAAGTAAAAAAAACCTGCAACTGCGTTAATTGCGCTAATTTTTTTAAACGCGTTAATTATTTAAAATTCATCGCATGCGTTAACACGTTAATTTTGACAGCACTAATATATATATATATATATATATATATATATATATATATAATTATTATTTGTGTTATTTAGTAGGGTATTGTTTTTTATTCCTTAATAAATAGCCTACTATAAATGAAAACATGATGATTTATATACGAGATTAGAATATGTTTTAGCTTTTTGTAAGTGGTTTTATGTTTTAGAATAGAGTATGTAATGTTCTCTATGATATTTATAAAGGAAATATTGGAAAATATTTGTAAAGGAAATATATGTGCTATTTACATATATTTCAGTTAACGAAATTAACAAGGAGTGCATGCTTTTACCTAAACTAATATTGGATTTTTTTAAAAATGCAAGTGCGATATAAGCAATATATGATTTGCACAAAAAAGTTATAGGGTTTTTCTCTAAAGAAGTAGTTACTCCACTCTGTGTAGAGCATCATTATGGGTGCATGGTTTCTGCTACATTCATTCCTTCATGGCGGGGCACTACACCAAAGCTCATCCTGCCACGGCTACATTACAGCTTCTCATTTAAAACATTCAGTCATTGCTGTTGTTTTTAAAAGCGGGTTATAATCGCGCCAAAACTTAAAAAGGTAAGTGAATTACAACAGCGCAAACTTTTCTGTAATTTTTCTGTGTTTAACCCTTTGAGGTGACGTGCTGACTGACTGACAGGTGCATGATGTGTGAGGCCAGCAAACACGGCGTTGCTTTCAGTTGTGTCGAACACAGTTTCCATAACTATACTTTATTTATGGATAAAGGTATATGGTTTTGCTTGCAATGACTTTATCTTGCTTTAGTTTATAGCCGTTTCACTTTACTTCAGGATGCAGTAATGTCGCTATGTAGGTCTATTGGAGATATTCAGACATATTCCCAGCAAATCTAATAAATGTTGGAGACATACTCACTACATAAACGAGCTAAATCGTGTTTCAGCAGTGTTTATTTGAGAGCGCACAAGAAGATCTGCGCTTGAGCAGCGTATATTTGAGGGCCGTGCAATAGGTTTTGTGCACATTTCTCCATTTGTTATTGAAATATCGCCATAGATAGTTGGTACATCTGTGCAAAAGGTCTGCCGCCACGGCTGGAAAACATCCTCGAGGAAACACTCTGGGCGTTTTACGCTATAACTAACATGGTTCAAGCGATGGATCTGCAACTCGTCACTACATCACTCGTTTCCCAAATGATGCATCGTATGATAGTTCAGCCGTGAGTTATGTCGTTGTTTGGGAAACGCACTCCTGAACAGCACACAAAGGTTAAAAATGTGTTTAAAATCCCTAAATTAAACAGCACTTGGAGAAATATCTGAAAAGGGATGAAAATATCGAAGGAGTCTCAGAGTTTAGTCTTGATCTGTATTCATCATCAGCGTTCAGTGCTGTGTGTATTGCTATAAGCTCCTATTCTGCTCGCCTCGGCCTGATCTATGAGCTCACCGTCATTATATTGAGTCTTTAATCAGAAATGTGGGCGTCGGGACAGAGTTTACCTCACCCTGGCGAACCTCTGACCTCACGCTCGCCGCTCGGCCTGATGGGAGATTCGCTCATTGGGAAACAGAAGGATATTAGTCAACACTCAGATATTTGGCTTTAGAGGCTCGTTGGACGGAGAGCAGAAATCAGAAGATTGTGTGACGTCCAAAAGCAAATACCAGGTGCAGGAAAACCGCTGGGCTTTATTTCCATGCGGACGCTTCTGAAAAACAGCATCAGATCTGTGACAAATCTGTGTTTTAATGCTCAGATGTTGGAGGAAGATTATAAAGGGTACTGGGAAATCTGAATATGAAGCCAGCTGAATTCCTGAAAGCTCTAAATGATTATTTTAATGCTGATAAACCTGTCTCACACACACACACACACACACACACACACACACACACACACACACACACTCTAGACACAGCAGAGACACTTTTACATCTGGTATAAGGGGTCAGAATAGGTCTCCTTTATGTCACTATGATATTTCAGGCCTCTCGGTGAGTAACGCAGCTCTTCTGGTTTTCAGCTGGTCTTGTCGTCTCTTTCGGCTGGTCAAGGTTTCAGTCCAGAACCTTCTGAACGCCACACTCTGTTCAACATCGACTCCAGACTGCAGCTACTACTTCCTATGCAGGACTTCCTGTCTGTGCGGAGCTCCAGTTCTCAGGTACTTGTGAGCTTCATCTGATTTCCTCCAAAATGTGAACAATTAATCAAGAGTTTATGAAGAACTTATTGAAGCTTATGAAGACAGCATGTCGCCCCTAACTGGTTCAGCTAGACGTAAACTATAACCTGCTGCATTTACTTCAGATGAAATTTTGTCAAATTAAATGTACTTGAATTCAAATCCAGTTTAATCGGTGGATAATGAGACAGAGATCACCACTCCTTGAAAATCACAGCTGTTTGCATTGCTGCAGCAGTGGCAGCTGGCCAATAGAGGGCGCCTCTTCAAATTAGCAGCTTTAACATGCTAACAATGCATAACAAAACGCATGCTAACAATGCATCATAACCATGAACAAAATAAAAGTATTTAATCGTAATATTCTACCGTAGAGGTTATTGCACACTGCCTCCGAAAGCTTCGTCCATCATAAAAAACTGAATCAGGCTGAATTCATTCATTCATTTTCCTTCGGCTTAGTCCCTTATTTATCAGGGATCTCCACAGCGGAATGAACTGGCAACTATTCCAGCATATGTTTTACACAGTGAATGCCATTCCAGCTGCAACCCAGTACTGGGAAACACCCACACCCACTCATTCACACACACACACACACAATCATACACTACATGATGTTTTGTAAACAAATTTCCGGAGGAGCATGCGCAGACGTTTCAGCATGGAATACGTCATTGACATTTATCCCATCATCAAATCAGTTCTTGAACAAACCCGTATATATACCAAAGCTGTCTTACCTGCAGCATCTCACGACTTCAGCATCCCTCCACCACCCTGTCACCTCACCTCTTGCATTGCATTCCCAGGGGGAGCATTCTGGGGCCGGGCTAGATACTTCGCTCGAATCCCAACTCCTCTTTGTTTTCTGATAAGGGAAATAACTCGAGTTAGGGTGTCTCCTTGAGGTCAGAGCCCTCCCCCCGGACAGCACGCCAAATATGCTTTATACTTAAACAAATGCAAGTGTGAACTCGTGAAAGCCAGTGTAGTTGATCGGTTCCCCTATACGTAACGGAGGCCAGCTAGTGAGTGCTGTGCAGGTAAACCTCACTCCTCTGACCTCTAAAGGTGCTCTAGCGACAGATGCTAGAGGCCATGGTCTTTAGCCTCCTTGTTAGAGCAACCGACTCCCATGCGGAAGGTCGCTGGTTCGAAACCAGCTCGGAGCAGTTTGGGTCGTGTAGGACTGACGGGGTTACATATAGCGCATGTGTTTGGACTGTGGGGGAAACCGGAGCACCCGGAGGAAACCCACACCAACACGGGGAGTACATGCAAACTCCACACAGAAACACCGACTGACCCAGCCGAGACTCAAACCAGCGACCTTCTTTCTGTGAGGCCACAGTGCTGACCACTGAGCCCTCGTGTCACCCTTCAGTCAGTTAACTTTTTAAAAACAATAATATGACAAAAATGCATAACATCGTGTTTTAGACACGCATGAGGAGTCCGGCTTGGTTAATATCTGGAGCTAAAGCACAGAATGATGGAAAATTGTCAACTCTGTTACTGTTAAAAAAGTTTAACAATAAGTTAAACAATCATTAAGTGACAGAATCAAATGTTTGCAGATCCTTAAAAAGTGTTCAATTATATAAAAAAAGCCTTAATTAATCATATTATATATCTTGAATTCACATTTTAAAGGTCTTAATAATACAATCGAACTGACCCCGTAAAGAAGACTGTGTTTCGAAATCTACTTAAAATCTGTCTATCTGTAACCAACACTGAAATATGCAGAACCCAATAAAATATATGCTCGCTGGGATTTCGGTTACGCAAGCAGATTTCATGAGGATTTCGCCCTATATCAGCTTATGACAGCTGCATTTATTAACCAGTATATTCGCAAATAAAGACCTAGAGATGCAGCGATTGACAGGACAGGGACCACAATTTCCAAATAACAATTTCCAAATATGATTTCCAAAAAAATCTTATTTTTTTACTATTAGAACTATCATATTTAATCCATAACCTGCAGAATATAAAAATAGTTTATTATTTAATATATACTTATTATTTAGAAGTTGCATAAAAACATGCAAGTAAAAAGTCATCAGCCTTTCAAAGGTAATATTTTCCATTGGATTGCAACCCCTGAGGTTATTATGCTAGATCAGTGTTTTTCAAAGTCTAAGAAAGTGGGCCTCCCTTTTGACACAACTTATCCACTGGTGCCCCCCCCTCCTCCCAAACACGCGCGCACACACACACACACACACACACACACACACATATATATATATATATACACAGTATATATAAAGACACAGACAGATGTCAGACTGTTAACTCACTTTTATCATCATTTGCATGAAAGTGCAATTATTTACAGAGTAATAACAAGTATTTTAATATAACGCTTTTAAAACTAGGATGATGGTTCAATATGAATAGAACAGATCCAAGAACTGTCCATCCCAGTCAAAACAGTCGGAGTTTAGCGGGTCTCACGCTGTCATTAGCCAAAATATCTTGACAAACCACACATAAAGGTTGTGGTTCATCAGCTGGTCCTGTCCACGTAAATCCTAATCTCAAATACTGATCATCATATCGTCGTCTTTTGGGTTTAAGCCCTGAACTTGAAGGCTTTGAATCGTGGGGTCTCAGAAACCGATCCATTGTATTAGCAAGCATATACCTGTATTGGCGGGCTTGCCAAACAGAAACGAATTCACAGGTAAAAAAGGTTTTCTTATTTTTGACGTGTTATTTTTTTTAGCTTAGTTTAATTAAAACGGTTAAAACATAATAAAAAAATACATATAGTAATTAAACTTAATAATTATATTTTTATTATAAATTATTTTTTCCCGCGCCTCCCCTGACAAGTTCTGGCGCCCCCCAGGGGAGGCGTGCCTCACACTTTGAAAACCCCTGTGCTAGATTAACTTCACAGCAATAGTTGCAGATTGATTCTTCAGTACAATGTTAAACTTTGACACCTTTATGGCACTTACATACATTAAAAATAAAGGCTACGACTGAACAAGGAGGATCTCCAAGTTGCTCCAAGTCTCCAAAATTAAATCAAGAATAGTCTTGTGCAATAATCATTAGACCCTTTCACACACTGATACTAGTAAATATCTGGAATATTACCGGAACGACTTTACTGGTAAGTTCAAAAAAGCGCTGTTCACACAGGCGAGGACGTTACAGAGTTTTTCCGGAAAAGAGCATTCACACATCTATCCCAAAATGCCGGTAAATTCTGACATCAAGAAATGAGCTGTAAACGGCTGCGCTTGTGTTTGTAAACATTTGACTACTTTACAAACTCTGTGGATGATCAGTATTGTGAACAACTTTGTTGAAAGCATAGAGGAACACCTTCGCATGTGGAGATGTTCATGATATGTGTGTGTGCTGGTGCTCACTGTTTCACGGGCACACCCAAAGCTTCCATCATAAGCATCTTATCGATAATTATTTACACGGTTGGCATTAAGATGAACATATAAATGTTATTTGACTAACATCTAGCAACTAAATGCGTCTGGGAAAATATTCAAAGGCTTTTATTCTCATAAACCGCGCGGACTTGAATGCTCTGACTGCTCTGATTGGCTAAAGCAGACGTCTTATGTCAGCAGGTTCTAGACGTGCACGCGCTCTTTCCGGCAATCTTTCGTCTGCGTTCACACAGCGCAGCATTCCAGCAAATTACCGCTAATGTTACAACTTCTCTTTCTGGAAAATAGCCAGAACGAATTTACCGGTATTTCAAAAAGGGTCTGTTCACACATACAACCTTTCCGGAAAATTGCTGGTCATTTTTCTGTAAAGGTCTGCATGTGTGAAAGGGGCTAATGTGATCACTATTCTCATTAAGTGAAATTAATATTAGATTAAACAAATGAATAATGATTATAAAAATTAGACTGTTGCACTTTTTTGGTGTCGTCAATCACCTTGTTTATAAAGTTCCTATTGGTGTGTGTGTTCACTATTGTGTGCAATATTTTTATGCTGACAGCCACCTCGAGCATAGAGGGGGTCACGAGTCACTGGTGTTGTTATTTTAGGGGTCGCTGGCTGAAAAGTTTGAGAACCCCTGCCTTATTTATCAGGGATTTTCACAGTGGAATGAACCGACAACTATTCCAGCATGTTTTACATGGCGGATGCCATTTCAGCTGCAACCCAGTACAGGGAAGCACCCATACTCAAACCAGCGACCTTCTTGCTGTGAGGCCCCAGTGCTACCCACTGAGCCACCATGACGTCCAACTGTATATCAATCCAGTCTAAGGAAAACAACTTCTCAGTATAGTAGTTTTTATGCTGATGTTAATTTGCTGAATGATTTCTAATAACCTGTCCTAGAGGGAGCATTTAAATACTCAAATATGTCGGACCTAGGACAGAACCCTGGGGAACACCGTGACAGAGCTGTCTGACAATAGAGTTATTGTGAGCTAAAACAACTGGAAACTGGAAGCAATCAAGAGAGATAAGACTCCTCTCTTCTTCCTCCAGCTGTGATGAGTTTGGTTCTGCGTATGTTCTTAATGTTCTCATTATGCGTGTCTGTAACAGTAGCTCACATCTCCGTCAGGCCAACAGGCTGGAAAAGTGTCATAAATTATGAATTATTGAGCTTGGTTTCTCTTTTTATTGGCCTGGGAGCTGTTTGAGACTCTTTCCCGGTGACGCTCGTTCTGGCTGGAGCTCCGTGTGAGGGATTTCAGCAGTATTTATAGGAGAATGTGAGGTTTGAGGACAGAGGACAGGGAGTTTTCATCTGTCACTTTACTCCACAATTAGTGAACAGTAGTTGAGAAAACACCACAACAGCGCTGTCTTTCTCTTCTGCTTCTCAATCTGCTTTTCCAGCACAAACAAGAGCAAAATATATGTTCTCCTTCAAGAGTTTGACTTGTTTTCCAGCATAAATATCAAAGCCTCCTTAAATCAAGACACGTTTACTGGAGAAGAAAAGTAAATGCAGATAACAT